AATGTGCTCTAGAATAATTTCAAAGGCTTTAGCATTGTTTTCTCAGATTTCGTTAGCCCAACACTGTCAATATAACCTTTATCATATGTATTTAATCCAGTATATCTTCGTTGGATCGATAAAGTTGGTTTGGGTGTAAACTGTTCATGATATGGTTGAAGAATTATAGCCTTCTGGTTCTACTACTCATTGTCATCTACACCAATTGTTTTACTTAAGAACTTGACAATGTTTCACACGACTTACAAATAGCATTGTCCCAACTGATCACCACCTATATTAGCGCATGTGATGAAACAATAGCTCTTTTCAGTAAGACTACAAGTCTCCAAATAACCCAGTAAAACTGAAATTGCCCTTGGTTTTCTCCCATTCATATATGAGACGTTTATTTATCATAGACGAATTTCTACACTAGATAACCTCCCAGTATCGATTCAACACATTTCGGATCAATAATACATGACTGGCTTGATTGTGAAGTAAATATATTTCCACACCAACATTTGACAACGATCACAGTAATGATATGGGTAGGAAAATATAAAACTATTCTAACACCTGTTAGGCCATCTACCGGTTTGAATAGGCAAAACATAGGCAAACATAGCAAAAATAATACATATGTAACCATATATCCTAAGCAAATAAATTTACATAGGTTACTCACGTTCCTCTTCTCTCTCTGCTTTTACAGTGGTGTGTTGGATATATGAGCTTTTACAAATACATAAAATACATCTAAGATGCAGCCAAAACAAACGGAATTCATCACTTTATCCAAAGACAACTTGAAGAAATCACGCGAGGACTGTTTTTAAAACGCTTTAAATCCTACTCACGGTCTTTCTTTAACGTTCACATTTATAGTACCCCTGTTTCTCCAGCACAGACATCAAACCAATTACACAGACGAGCCGGTGAATGGGCGATGGGAGTAAGAATTGGAGCTGATGAAAGTGGATTCCGACACCGGTTTGTTCTTGCTGAGATATGGGAGAGTAGAGGGTGATCTGACAATGGCACAAAATATACTAAATTTCTTCGATTGCCCCGAAACAATCATGTTAAAGAGATGTCAACAACACGTTCCTAGAGGTAACCTCCATCCCCAAAATTTGCATATCAAGAACCGAAAAGCCATACACGCCCATAATTTTACCCAATAGGAGTTTACAATGCTCTATCAGCCGAAGTGATCAAAACCGCCTTAGTAATTGGCTTCAAGCGGAGACTTGACATACATATACTAACACGTAAATGATCATTTCCCGCTAGATTTTCCGTGCCTGATAAATGTCTTCTGCCAGTAAAGTGATAGTTATTGGTTCCCAAAAAGTCATTCTTCTGATAAAAATGCACTCACTCAGACTACATTTTATACAGGTCCATGGATGACTAACAAATCGATCAGAATGTATGCATTTGAAAGTGTATGATACCAACTATCAAACATTCACATACCTGGACTCTCACCGAAACAGAAGGAAGTGAGCTCAAGGAAACCAACTGGTTTGTACAAACTTGTCTCATGGATATAACTTATTTGAAACTATAAATCTAAGCCACTTTTATATTTGTAAATTTACTGGCTATGTAACATAAGCAACGTCTCTTTACTGTTGATACAACTAGATTATATTCCATGATTAAGATTTTAGTGGACAAACAAACACAAAAAACGTAAGTTGTCGTCTCTCACCATACGCATGGGTTGTTCGATAATTATCTAGCAAGCCTGCAAAGATTCAGATAACTCAAATGACGAAATGGTTGAAATTCACTCCTTATTTTTGAAGTTCAGTCGATTGCGAATATCCCGGGAGCCTCAATACGCTATTTTAGAGGTACACCTCTAATCAAAACCATTAAAATAGCTTGTTGAATGTATGGAAGCTTAGTTACATCAACACGATTGTGCCTGAGAAATAGCATGTGATCTATTAACAATTTTATCAGAATAGGAACGCTATTATTGTTTACGTCTAAATTCTGTAATAAATTGTGCCATTTGGTAAGTAACATGGATTGCTTAATAAATCTGTCCTTGTTGTATCATGTTATTATGGTTCAGTACGGCCTGCGACGTTGTGGATTTAGGAACGAAAACGATTGTGTTTCCCTAATACAGTATGTTCTCTTTGGAACTGACAACAGTCTATTATGCTCAACACATCAAACCTCGATTGCTAAGACAGGGTAAGGACGAAATTTAGGTAATTTGACATATGTTATACAAGAAGCCACTCAAACAATATTGGTACCAAAGTTGTCACTATAGTAGCAGAATATGGCCTTCCATCATGTGGCAGTTTAGCGAACTAAAAAACATGATAAGCAATCAGAGGGTAAAAGTCATGAGTAAAATACAACTAGTAGAATGTATGCTAGCGATTGTCGTTCTGGAAGAGATCTTAACCCTTCTAATAAAATCCACCTGAGCAATCCTACATCTTCTAAGTGCTCTGACTTCATGAAGTTATGGCTAAACATAAGAGCGATCGTGCGGGATTTAACGTGGAAATAAAATCACACCATAAATGAAAGTTCCGGGAAACGATTTCTGAATCAGTTATTACAAGTGTTTTTCTAATAGCATGTCGAACGAAATAATAATGTGACAAACTATCGACAGAACTTTTAAACATAGATATTTACACCGGGAACTATCAATAAATGTAAACTTAGTAACCTGTACCAGCCTATTAGCGTTCAACTTACATTAATGCCTAGATATTAGATAAATGCAACACAGACCTATTACTTTGTGGGTGAAAAAAATGGTTAGCTTAGACGTAAGCTTAAATGACGTAAATGATGAAGGTTGTGAATGCAACACATAAGCAAAATGAAATAAAGATATTAATAGAATGTGAGGGACAGTTAATGAGATCTTCGTATGAATTGGTGAAAACTTACGACGAATTCTAATTAGGTATAACCATACAAAAAAGGGGGAAAATTTCGAAACCATTGGCCTTTTTAAAACACTTTTACTTACATGGATGACTATAGTCTAAGTCAGATTGTTCAATCACGAGCCTACCGCTCATTTTAATACTTGAGTTATAGTCTATATACTTCCTTCTATAAGGTTTGCATGGTGACTGCGGTGACGTGACGCCTACCTCAAAGGACCAGTCAAATAATTCTAATTTCTTTCCGGATATTGACCACGTAAGAACGCAGTCCCCTTAAAATATTGAATAAACCTCGTGAATACAGGCAACGAGACCTGCTGAAACGCATAGAAGGAAATTAAACATTTCATTAAAAATCCTTCATGTTTTTGCTCCAGGCTGTTTACAAACGATCGTGTTCTAGAGACTGGAAGGATGTTACAATTAGTGTTCTCTTTGGAAGAGTTACGCGACATAATCTTCAAAATTGCCTTCCTGTAGCTGTGATTATCATATTCTTCAGGTCTCAGGACAATATCTCAATATAATTTCTCAAGGTCATCATTTACACCAGGCGCTATACAAGGTTACTTCATAACAACTATGAACTTAAAAAGTTGTATCACGCAGATGCTCAGCAGGACCAGAATTATAACACAGTTATGCCGAGATTGGATCTGGTGTGTAATGTGGACTCGATGCCACTTTGAAAAATATTTTGAATACTGTACTCAGTTTAATACTAAAACATAAACCTAACCATCAACGCTCCAAGACATCTGCACGAATGTACTCTCATTCACTTTTATTAATCATATCTATTAAACGACGCTACTTGATAAATATAGTGTCAGCCAACAAATGTTGTAATTTGTAGATCATGCCTGCAAAAATGGCATCGGGAATTAACTACTACAACATACAGAAACCCGTTGAGCAAAAGCCACTTACTTCCTACCCAGAACCATTCGAACTTTCTTCCGGAAGGTAAACAAAAAGTACTGTTTGTCTGTCTGGCAAATGGTGCTTAGTAGATCCACTATTAGAGATACTACTTCGGTGTTAGCATCACTCCTCTTATTTGCCAGTTATCTTTCTGACTTTGTTATGTGCTAACCATATGGAGATATGGAAAGTGATTCAAAATAATAAACACCAATCAGATTTTCTGAAAGATCTCAAGAAGTTATCAGAACGGCTGAGTATTTAGAAAGCTCCAATCAAGGTTGTAAGGTGTATGATGAAACACGTTGGTCATCAAGGCAGAAATCGATACATAGGTAATAGTGTTACGTTACACGTCGCTCAGAAGCACAATATTTTCGTCAGAACTTGAGTATATAACTGAGAGACACAGTTATTATCTGAAATACTTGAGCTGTTGGGAAAATGTGAACAACATCGTCTAAGTTGATGCTAAGGACGTAGATGCTGTTGTATGCGAAGAGCTCGGACAGACTCACTTTATTCCACTTATCTTACTCAAAAAATGAGATAATTCATTGGTTACAAAATTAAAACTTTACATAAAGCCAACTCCATTTTTCTTCTGAAAAAAGTTGACGACGGGATTCCAAGAAACCTTTCAAGCCAAGAACCAGTAACTTGATGCTTGAATGCCGGGTTTCTAGTCAAGGTTTCAACAAGTGGAACTTTTTTTCTCAATGGGTAGTTGGAGATGCTTCGGATAACATACCCCCAAGAAGGTTGCGAAAACGCCACAAGTTTTCGGAGTTTGACAGTACTTTAATCAGTAACACCTTTCATAATCGGGACTTGTCAGTCCAGTGAAATCAGAAATCAGAAGAGAAGATATATTTGATAGGCTATCGATTTATCGAGAAGTGACTATTCTAAGCTGGCTAGTGGTTGTACGAGAGGTAAAGCATGGCGTACTCACTCGTGGCCTGGTGCGGAGCATCTTCAGTTAGGCGAGTCCATCAAGACTAATGTGTTCAGCATCAAATGTCAAGGACTTGCATAGCTATTTAATTCGTGGATTTATTTACCATTACAGTTGAATCAAATGAGACTATATAACGAGAACCAACACATGACATTCAGTGATCTATCATTGCTCATTCTCATTTGGAAGTGTACATCATTTGGGGTGCAATGATATCTGAATAACTGTGGTGAAGGGATATTTTTGTTATAGTGCTTCGGAAGTTCGAATCTCACTAATTTTACTTTTGGCGCGTTGGTACGCACGCGTGGTTAGTCCTTTTATCTGCGCACAATGGTTGTTAAAAAAGAAGTTAAGGAGAAAACAAATAACCCGATGCGGGAAATAAAAATCCAGAAGCTATGCCTTGATATATGCGTTGGGGAAAGCGGTGACAGACTAACTCGAGCTGCCAAAGTTTTAGAGCAATTGACTGGTCAGCAACCCGTTTTCAGCAAAGCACATAAAACTATCAGGAGTTTTTCGATCAGACGTAATGAAAAAATTGCTGTCCACTGTACTGTGCGGGGACCAAAAGCAGAGGGTACGGCAGTTTAATCCCTAATTTTTCAGAAATTTTGGAAAAGGGTCTAAAGGTGAAGGAATATGAGCTTCCTAAATCATGCTTCAGTAAAACCGGAAACTTCGGCTTTGGATTGACGGAACATATTGATCTTGGATTAAAATACGATCCCGCTATTGGGATTTATGGAATGAACTTCTACGTCATTTTGGGCAGACCTGGGATGCGCGTTAGATATCGGTAATTATACCTTCAGTTACTAAATTTTTAAACTAGACGTCGTTGTCAAAGCCGCGTTGGCAATAGTCATCATGTCCAAAAGGAAGAAGCTATGAAATGGTTCCAAACAAAGTTTGATGGTATTTTGTTAAACAAATAATGTTAAGAGGAAATTCTGGCATTTGTTATCTGGTTCTTATTTGTCGTGGTAATTCTTAAAATCAGCTTGTAATCTGGGTGTTAAACTATTAAATCCTTGTTGACCAGTTAGTGTAAGCATAAATCAGTTTATACATGTTTCGACGATCATACAGCTTATCAAGTCGTTTTTGTAGTTCGTGTATATAGTCATCCGTTTAGTTTAGCTAAACTACTGCTCACAACATGTAGCTTCCGCATATGTTCGTGCTACGAGTAGATGGGTATCAAGGCCTTCGTAATAATCAGATTCCTTGTTTTTTCCTTAATACATGATTGTAGTTTCTTAAATAAATTATAAAGTAGAAATTTGTCATTGGTGTAATATCTTGAGACAGCCAAGTTGTACAACTCAGTTGTTAAATGGTCTTTGACTATTATGATGCATTATTGTGGAATGTTGGTCTGTCTAGTATAATATCTACCGACAGATTTTATGTTAGCCTTCCTACAATATAGCAGTCGGACATCACATTATTCTTGACAATAACAGTGTAATAGTGTCTACATTTTGTCACAGCTTAGGAGTGATAATTCAGGTGATATCTGGGTTCACGAATTTATATCTGGAAATGCCGAAAAGTTGAAGATAAATATTACGCTATTTATGATCTAACCATTCAGTTGTAAAAGGTTCAGTAGTCACGGCTACATATTTGAGGAACCATATAGTCTGGTCTCTTAATTTTATCGAATATGGAGTTATAGCCACACACTTCGTTCAGTGTATTAAACAAAGTACTGGAGTTGTAATTAGTGTTGGCTGCTATTGAGTCTATATACGTTTCTTTTATTTGGCAGTCAACCAAAAATACTCGTAGCATAAAAAACACCTTATCAACCAGCACTGTATTATACTAAAATAACACATAATAATCTTTCGAATGGACATAACGTTGATAATATTTCGGATACCTATGAGTAAGTCTGAAAAATACTATATCGAAATCCGAACGCTGTAATACTTGATGAAGTTTTTCGATTTTGGCGTAGGTTATCTAGATTAGTGAAAACCTTGTTTGGTATTCGAACCTCCACCGAGATCAGTGGTTGCAGACATTGAGTGATAACCTAGTCAGTCATTGGCGCAAATATATGCACTCGTTGTAGTCCTTTAAATACTAATTTCCGTTGTTTCGTCATACGTTGCTGTCGATCTTTTGTCACCAGTTTCTCGATTTTCAATTTTGCCTATTACTATTGCTGTTTTATCTCGGCACACCTGGTGTGGTATGAAAGTCCAGCTCAATCCTCGTTTGTGCCATACTCATCGCTGATAACGTCTGATTGTTGGTAGTTAGGGGTAGAATATATTATTCTTCAGTCCATCATCGCCTTCCAACCTGACTTTTTTTTAGCAGTAACATTATCCAAAGATGCTTGGCACACTATTATTAGGTAGAGAAAATGGTAAAAATTGAATGAGTAGCTATATTGAGCCAGTAATTATTTGTGAAAATAACATCAGGTATATGTTCGATTAGTATTTTTATCATACTCATCTTCGGCGTGGTGTTTATTCGTCAGTAAAGTCTCGAATTTCTGCAAGTTGGGATAAACTTCTCAGGACTGGTGGCAACTGGTTATTATTGTCAGTCAGTCAGTCAGTATTGTCAGTCATTATTGTCGGTGCTTTTAAACAGTTCAGTTAGGTCCCACTGTCGTGCTTAATATGTATGCAGGTTTGGGGGCTAATCGCTTGGCTAATAATTTCATTCGCAACCAAATGTTGGAATTGAGCTAGTAAGCAACGAAGATAATCTCTAATTAGAAGTGTTGTACCTGGTTTTAGGACGAGTTTTTGTTTGGTCACTTGGGCAGTATCACAGTCTTCACCATCGGATGAGATCTGTGTGGCGCATGTGTATTTCGTGTCTCCTTGTACCAATATCTATGTTAAAATAATAATGCTAGGACGGGCGGGCTTCTGTGATGTAATCTGATTAGCTGTGTTAGTCGCTGAATGACTTTTCACTTATGAAAATAGTAGTGCTTTTCAAAGTTATGCAGTAATGGCACCCGACTGAGTGATTAGCTTATCTTACTGTAAGAGATAGATTGTTGGTTGGGATATCGACAAAATATCTTGTCACAATTCGATTGGGATATAGACTTCGGTATTCTTGGTAAACGATTCTGTGCTGTAAATAATTGTAGCAAACAAAGCGGTTAGCCTTCTGCATTGGGACCTATTAACCTAAAAAATATGTGGACTAGGTATAGATGATTTTTTGTTGTCTAAGCGGTGAACCTAATTATGGTTTGTCTCGTTCACTATACATAACCATCGCACTTCAATTTTCGGTCCCTTGATCTTTCTGTGAGTCATTTCGAAAAATAAGCTCCCAATGAACCTTTTTTTCCATCGGGATTGTAGTAGTCACTTTCACATATCTCAGCACCGATATGTACATATCACACCTAAAAACCAAATTGGTTGGAGTGTATAGAATGCAGAATTGTCGTGGATTGAGAGTTTCTTGGATTCGGTATTGGTAATTGTATGGTCATATAACCTATGAGTGTATCAAGAAATTCAGTAAATCTTTGTACCATGTACGTTTTCAAATTCTGAAGACAACAAAAGTCATCGCTGTCGGTATGAAACTTTTGTTACTTTCTCTTAGCGCATATTATGATTCATTCGAGGTGCATAGAAAATTCATGTTTTATAAACTAAAATCATTCACTAGGTTCAGGGTTAACATATTCAGCCTACAACTGCCTCGTTTAGTGGCTAGATATAGCTTTCTGCTGTTCGATTAGCAGTAGAGTTTGGACCTTCAGTCTATTAGCAGGAATTAGGATATTTCAATTACTAAGCAATAGTCTCACTTTAATTCATATTACGGTTGTAAGCTAGTTTATCTATTTTACTGTACTAGATGATGAGACCTGTGCTATCATAAATGGGTCAAACTATGCAGATACAAACTTATTCTGTACCACGCCCAAATATCCGATATTGAAGCTTTTAATAAAATAGTGGTATTAGTATCAATTTTACGAGTTTTTCAAGTTCCACTTATCAACTGGTCCTCTTTCGATGGTTATTTCAGTTAAACTTTAGAAGGCGGTTCTGTAGGTCGATCGAAAGTCAAACGTTGAATTATGTTTTTCTTAAAGTTGGATAAGGTTCTCAGTTTAAAATGCCATTTGGAAAAAGATAATATTGAAGTTCACTCATATTAATTTTGATCAACTTGTAGGTTACAAAAAATAAAGAGCAAACTGTAAAGAGTCAGAAGTTTATTACTACTCGCTACTTAGAGATCACCGCATTTAGATGTGTTCTTAGAAGTTGATTTTCAAAACACAAAACTGTTACCTATCAATTCGTACATATGTTTTCTAATCCTAAACATAAATCAACTATCGAAACGTCAGATATATAGCACAAAGTTTACAATTTGTAAGTAAAAATGTGGAGAGTTACAGTTTTGTTTTGCTGCGAAGTAGAAAAAAGAGTACTACATGCATATGATTCCTAAGGGAGTAGAAAGGAAGCCGAATATTTTTTCAAGTCAGACTGTATCAGTTTTAACTTGTGCGTCCTTCATTTGTACTAGCGTTAGTATTCCTGTGAATGTATTGGTGTGTTAGTGCATTATGGGTTTATGTAAATAGTTAAACTAATTATGATTATTTGCTACTAATTCTTTTTTTGAATAATAAGTAGCATCAAAATTATTAATAATAGTGAAGTTTATATACATATATACTGTGGTATACTTCCTGTGAATCTCATTATATTGGTGATGTTGAAGCATATTTTGTTTTGTAAATTAATTATAACCAATAGAGAGATATATATCAGACGTAATAAAGAGGAAAAGATTGAAAGGGTGTTTGTCTCCGTAAACAAGTGGAAAGAAATGATCGTTTCGTTAATCAAGTAATTCTATCATCATCATAGTTGTTTTCTTATCTCTTAGAATATTTCAGGATTCCTCATACATATAAAATTCACATTTGTAATTATTCGGTTGCAAAGTCGGTTTTGCCAATATAAATTAGGAGTTACAAGTACACAAGCTTTAGGTCCTCTGTAGTGTTTTTGTTTTTGTGACAGGTAGTGTTTACGTTTTATCTGTTTATTAGTTGGTGATCGCCATTTTGTATTGACCGGGTGTCCTTTATCCCATTTTGTAAAACCAACATGTTCGAAATTATGCCAAACCCATGGTCCGCGTGGTTGTGCTTGATGAAGACCTATAATTAAGAAAAAATTGTAGTTCAGATTTGATATCATTAGTGTTTTATTGCATGTTTTTATGTATACATAGTATAAATACGGATTTGAAAATTAAAAATGGAAAACCATTATCATTTTCTTTACATTGAAATTATCATTCAACTGGGAAACTTATTTGAAGTTTGCACTAAATTCGATTCCTGTCTTGTCTAAATTTACTAGTAATTTAGTTTATTTGCCGAGTACGGTTTCATATTTTAGGGTTTGAACTTTCCACTATTTTGTTCGAGGTCTAGTGGTCTTATTTGGTTCCCCAGACCTCAGAAGTAGGTGGAACGTGGTTAGAATTGAGCACTCCAATCAAATCGAATATAATTCTCATCGAGTTTTATTAGAGATAAATTTATTCGTATGTGGTTTTTGTCTCGAATTAAGTTTGCTCAAGAAATCGTTGAAGACGAGTGTTTACTGACTTTATTCATAGGATATGACTTTTCAGCATTGTGCGTCTATAACCTTGGAAGTGATTGAACTCATAAGCTTCAGTTCTTGAAACTAGCCCATCACATTTAGATTACTGAATTGGAAACATAGTCCACACCTTCATCTTAAGTCAGTTCAAGATGTATTGTGACGATCATTTAGTCTCTTTGACAGGAAACTGCTTCATTTGAAACATAGTTGAAACCCTACAAACTACTCACTACTGACGGGTTTCATACAGGGGCGAAACATCTGTCTATTGGTTCCTTGTACTCAATGAAATCCCAGCTGATGTTTTTAGTTAGTGAAAAGATTTAAATAAAATCTTGATAGCCTCTTGATGTTTTAACGATTGCTGTACAGCATAACTTCAATGCTCTCATGAATTTAACTTAAGAATAGTTTTGGATATATTACTGATCAATTCGCAAATGGAATTTGTGTTAAATTACCGAAAAAACGTTTATTTATACATTTCAGTCTTTCCTGAAATAACGCCATAGCAAAACTTACCTATCCAAAACGGTTTGCTTATTTGAAATATTTCAGCTAACCATTTCAAATTTGTCTCATCTGTAATACTAGTCAGGAATCCGTCTTGCAGTTCACAATAATTTCGTGCTTCTTC